ATCAATCTTCGATCAATCTTCGATGAATCTTCGATGAATCTTCGATGAATCTTCGATGAATCTTCGATCAGTCTTCGATGAATCTTCGATCAGTCTTCGATCAATCTTCGATCAATCTTCGATCAATATTCGATCAATATTCGATCAATATTCGATCAATATTCGATCAATATTCGATCAATATTCGAGCAATATTCGATCAATATTCGAGCAATATTCGAGCAATATTCGATCAATATTCGATCAATATTCGATCAATATTCGAGCAATATTCGAGCAATATTCGAGCAATATTCGATCACTCGTCGAGCAATATTCGAGCAATATTCGATCACTCGTCGAGCAATATTCGAGCAATATTCGAGCAATCGTCGAGCAATCGTCGAGCAATCGTCGAGCACTCGTCGAGCAATCGTCGATCACTCGTCGATCACTCGTCGATCACTCGTCGATCACTCGTCGAGCAATCGTCGAGCAATCGTCGAGCAATCGTCGATCAATCATGCACCAATCATGCACCAATCAACAAGCAATTATTCACCAATCAACAAGCAAGCATTATCATCAATCAATAAATCAATCATTCACCAATCAACAAGCAAGCATTATCATCAATCATCAATCAATAGTCAATCAATCGTCAATCAATAGTCAATCTCGAATCATTAATCAATCATGAATCATTAATCAATCTTCAACCATCAATCAATCATCAATCAATCAATCTTAAATAAATCATCAATCAATCAATCAATCATCAATCAATCTTCAATCATCAATCAATTACCAATCAGTCATCAATCAATCAATGCATGGGCTCCGCGAATACGTTGATGAACTAATCGTATGAAAATTCATATTTTATATAGGATTCTCCTCGAGACAAGGTCCTATTGCGACCTAGCTATGTAGCTAGAGTCGAATATCGTGCCACTGTCTGCACTCTAACCCCAGGACCTCCCAATCAGAGTCGCAGGAAAAGTATCAGCAATGTTCGAATTGAGACGCACTCAGCAGGTTTCTTATCTTTCAAATATTCGAATAGTTTATTAAAAACTCTCAGTGCATTATTCATTAATGGCATGTTTATTTTCTTCATTCCAAACGGTTGTGTCGTGCACAATGTGTGGGTACAGAACGTGCCGTGTCTTGGGATACAGTGATTTTCATGAACATACATAAACCGTGCGGTGCGTATTATACTAGTAACTTTTTTATTATGAAAGTCAATTTGAGATTTCATTTTATTTTCTATTTAATTACGAGGCACATGGTTAATTATTACAGTACTTTTACATATGTCATTTGAGACGACTTAAATTAACATTAGAAACGAGGCATGTAGATTATTAGTGGCCGGTTTTGTTACTAATATCTCCACTCTACCCGAATTTTTGAATCCAACGTTCAAGAAAAGTTGCGGAAGTAAAACCTTGGTGTGTGCTGCTGTCTCGAATCTGCTGGTTGTAAGGACCGTTGTGGTGGTGAAGTCCCATGCTATGGTTGCCGGGAGACTGGCTTTAGTCGTGATCGGCGGTATTTACCTCTATGGCGCTCTCTAGGTTACAAAAGAACGTAACTGATTCTGCTGTAGCTTTCACGAGGCCAAGGTCTGCAGAGGCAGCCTCTCTGTTTATGTTTGAGTATTAGCACTTGAAGAAGTAGTGTCACAGTAACACAACAGAAAACACTTCACCAGTTTAAGACGCACTATAAGTAAAACTAGTGGTGCTTACATAGCATGTACTTTCTCACCTTTAGAAATGGTTAGGTAATAGTATTCACATCACAACTAAAATTAACTAACTACAACTAAAAAAACAAATAAAATTAAAATATCGATTACCAACCCAAGGGGACGCGACATCAGTGAAATCGATTGTGGAATATCAATTTCGGAGAAAATCGGCTGAACGGTTTAGCCGCTAGCGTTGTGCATAGTGATAGACGAACAAACTGACGTTTTGCCGTCAATCTATTTTCGGTATTAATAACCCATCAAACATAGATTCTGGCTACACCACGTGCTGGATGATTTTTTTTCTACATTTAACAACTGGATTTATCCACTTTTTCGTTACCAGGACCCTGTAATAAGAGATTTTTCTGCCGAAAATTTGCGGTTTTTTCGCGCAGCATTACATATCTTTCTCTTCTTAAGAAGTTCTTTCTTTAGCGCGAGATAGTAAAAATCACTTCCAGTCTGGGTAGAACGTGGGAATTAAGTGTTAAATAGGGATTGGATTGTTATGAAAATGCATATTTCTTCAGCTTAGTCGTAAAATTTTTTATTTCCAAATGGGAGTTCGTACATGCTTATTTCGATGTTTTAGTTTGCATATTTGATCTATACCGCATGAAACTGCATACTTCATGGTTACGCTAGTGTCTGTTGCATAATTTATCAATAATACATAAAATTTTTAAGATTGATTTATTATTTTCCTCATTTGGCTTGTTTTTTTATTTATGTGAAAATCTGATTATAGTGAATATTAAGTTTTTCAGATTATGACTTCCCATTAATTCATGTCTTTTTTCTGTTATCTCCTTGAAAACTATACATTCTGTAGCAAAGGAACGATTTGCAAAATTTAGTAACAGTAATATAAACGAACAAGGTCTTTAATCACTGACCAGTTTCCTTCTTAACTAAAAGAGAAAACAAATTATATTCTTCGAACATCGATTTCATGAACCCAGTCGTTACTTATCTATTACTATCTATCAGTTCTCTTCTCATTTTGCCTTGAGCTTGCAATCATAGTGTTTGCCAACACAAAACGAAGTTAACATGAGAAAGGCCCAAAACTGTTTCATTGCTTAGTTCTGAACTACAACTTGCATATTACGATGTAAGTCAATCCAAATGTAATTTCTATTAATGGTAGTAAGTATTTCGTTTAGTTAGGTACTGTTTTTACATAAGTTTACTCTTATTAAGTGTATATTTTACGTTTTTACTATATATTAAGGTTTTACTGTATATTGTATGCCATATTTTGACAATTTATACTGCATAAAAATACAATTCCTAGTGATAACTGTTTGACACGGTTTATCCGTTACCGTCAGGGGGCCTTGCTGGGAGTTGAGTATTTCCGAGGAGGAAATGGGCCTAATAGCGAAATGTGATCAATTATAGATGTTCGCTATATCGCTCTTCATTTTTGCAAATAACATGGCGTCATGTCTGAAGAGAGATAACGATGTGTGCCTCACTCAATTGCCCAGCTTCTGCGGAGGGGGGAGGCTTACGAATTTAGTAACCATTAAAGTGGTGTCAGTGGGAGTTTGTCATTGATTCTCTTTGTATCAATTATGCCTTCCTTTGATGATGAAGGTTCCTTCCAGGGTTGAATTAAGGTGCTCTGAATAATAATATCTCAACCGAAGTTCATTTTGAGAAAACTTTTTCTATTTCCGTTCTCACTCACTTTCACTCCGACTTATTTTTTAACGTAGAATTGATAAGTTTTTGCCATCTGAGAGAAGAATCTGACCAAGATGATTCTTGGACCAAAACCATTTACTACGTCTTATTTATGCAATAGAGTTCGGCGCGGCTGAAATATTTGATAAGCAATTTGCAACACTGATGTGTCATGTGTGTTGCAGGATTCAGGCGCAATGGCAACCGGCCGGGTGGAACTCTCAGCAATGGCAATTGAATCGCAAATTCACAGTTTGTGGGAGACGCTGCAGGTAAGAACAAAACATACGACTAGTACCTCTACCATGGCACAGACTTTCTCGTGCTAATTACGTTCCTAATCTCTTTAGTCTGGTTTGCGTTTCGGTTTTGCCCTTCCATCTTCAACGCACTACCATTTGTCGCCTAAAACACTTTTCTTCTTTGCATTTACACAATTTTTCGGACCCATTATAGTAAAATTGAAATATGACATTAAGAATATTATAGGAAAATAAACGTGGTCCAATATTAAAAGCTTTATTGAATATAAATGTCATTTTTGAGAAAGGTAACATTCACAAAAACCTTTCGAGTTTTCGAGGAACTTCATTAGGCATAATTTCAAAAAATTGTTCTTGAATAATTTTAAAAACACCAGTTAAGTAAATATTAATGACATGAGAGGTTTTAAACAAATTACATTTTGTGTAATTTTTGAAATAACAAAATAATACATCATAATAGCTTTTACGATTAATGTGTCATGATACTCATAGAATTTAGCACAATCAGCACGAACTGTTTTTTTTAAATGGGTCTATTTGTGAGAAAGTCTAGGTTTTTTTATATCGTCCATATTTTACTCAAGGTTGTGCGGTAACGAATAATATTTTCAACAATTTGTACATGACATTAATGAAAGAAATAATAGGGAATAAAATTTTTTCCATAAAAATCCTATCTTCATTATTTTAGTTGTATGAATGGTGAAAAATTTTACTTTTGTAGTTTTTGAAAATCGAAGTTTTTAGCTTTTTGAAAATAGAGGGTGAGGAGAGATTCTAGATAGTGAAAATGGGGGAATGAGAGAGAGAAGGAGGGAGGGAGGGAAGGAGAGAGAGAAAGAGGGAGGGAATGTGTAAAAATAATTGTTTTTCCAAAAAGATATCAAGACAATATTGATTTCATATTCCAGACACATCAGACCTGCAATACTGTTTGGAACATTGGTTGTATCGGTATCTGAGTAGTTGTGACTTTTTTTTCAGTTAGTGTGAACAACTAAGATTCAACCAAGAAACGCGTGTTCATTTCTCGGCCGGGATCACTATTTCTTTGAATAATTGAAAGTATTAAATTCAATAGCTAGATAGGAACAGTCACAACATGAAAGATATTTAATATAAATATTTTGGGCGTAATTGCATATCCAACAGGGCGACAGTAAAATAGCAATTGATGATGATGGTGATGATGATTATAATCAAAATTATGGAAACCTTTTGTACGTTATTTTCTACTAGCAAGGATATTTCTACTGTGTTTTAAACATGTTTTTCAAGGTCTTGTGAAATCAGATAGTGAATTAAGACACACCACGTTTGTATTTCACAAAAATACAAACATTTATTCAGTTTTATGGTAAAATAAGCAAATACACTAATAAAAATATTTCTATTTACAATTATTGTCCTTTAGACATTAGTGAGCATTGCTTGTTAATCCTCGAAATGAGGACGACATTGTCAATTATTGTCATGGAAAATTAAACAGTTGGCTAATAAATATAGCAGAAACAATTGAGTTTATGAAATAATTCCCTTTCCATTGTTTCAGGCAACCACCACTAGCCTTGCAGCCTGTGATCGCCTCATGCAGGAATATCACGAGAGGCGATCTAAAAACGCCTCCACTCAAACGGAGTTTATTCACAACGATCTTCACTCCGGCGGTCGTCCACATGTGTGTCCACACTGCAGCACTCCCATATTGCCCCTGAAGATTGTCCCAGGAGTGGACCCAAGTCGTGAACAAATTCACCAGCCGACACCTAAACGAAACGAAGGGGGCGATCTTGGGCAAATCCTCGAACCAATAGTCGAACGTAAATCCGTGTATTGTTGTGGATGTGAAGAAATAAGTGACAGTCGCGAGAAAAGTGAAGACGCCGATTCAATGCCTCCTGGACACCACTTGTTGGAAGACAAAAGACATTTTCGTGAGATAATGGGCAAGTCAGAAGCTAAAGAAACGGATATGTTTCGAAAGAGTAAAGAGTCCGAAAAGTTTAGTGCATCACGTAGAGATTGTGCAACGTCTCCGTTTTTTTTCGAGCTGAGTAAACCTGTGGGGATTTCGTCCAGCTGTCCTTCGTTTAGAGGTCTTGCGAGACCTGCCTCTGTTCGGAGATTGAGCGACCAGCACTATCAGCATATTTCTGAAGATGTTAGAGCTACCTTCGGTACTCAGATCCATCCCCCGGGCGACAAGAAAACGATGAGTATTGTTACGACCCCACCCACTAACGCCCGCAAAAAACAAGACCTGAATAAAGATGCGGCATTAATCTCCAAACTTCCAAAAGGGGATTCCCCGCAACTGGAGAAACCTCTCTGTTCTGATACGTCGGTCAGTTCGATCGTTCTCGATTCTCCGCGAGAGAGTAGTCGTTCCGTGAACGAGTCTCCGTCGGCCGGCGCCAAAACGAAAGGCGGCGTGAGACGGTGGTTGAAGAAAAACGCGGCAGTGTTGCGAGGAACGAAAAGAACCGGTTCGCGAACCGACTCGCGGGATGAGTCGCGTGAGAGTGAATCGTTTCAACCGCGGGCGCTGTTGGAGGAAGTGCGAGCTGCCGTTCGGGAGGAGTTCCAGCTGAGGGAGGTGAGTTGTGATGTATTTTGAATCACTAAAATCCGATTTACGCGCTTTCTTTTGAGAAACTATTCTGTATTACACTGGCCAACAAAAACATTGTTTCCTTCACTTTAGCCCAATATTACTAATTTGGGGTTGATAAAAACTAATAGGACAATTTTTATTAGCTCTTGTTTTTATGATATCCAATAGATATCATACTATTATATTATTTTATTGTATATATTATTATAATATCGTAATATTTTATTTGAACAGTTTAAGAGAAAACTATTCATTTTAATAATTTACGCCAACAACGTACACTTGAATCACACATTACACAACGTACACATTCAAATACGTATAAGAAATTCTATATTGTTGAAAAAAGTACCCAATTGTTTGTTTTGAAGAGAATTATGTGATGGCTTCAAATCACTGTCCTTTAGCTTCCCGATTGTGAGTTCCGGAGTATCTCTACATACAGACCAGCAGTAATCCTCAAGTATTTCTGAGTTACAACGGCCCTGATATGTTTCTCCCACTAAAGAAACTCATTCAGATCACCATTCCTGGTGGAATCTTTTTCAATTTTCATCACTGACTGCTCCACAACTAGGAGAAAATAGTAATAGGCGGGAATGGAGAAAATGGATTTTAACGGAGCTGTTGCATACGAGTTCATAGTGTTTTTGCAGTCGTACTGTCACCAACTGAGTGTAGTTATAATTTCTTTTGTTGCCTAAAAATCCATGAATTACTCCCTTGAATGCTTCCCAAGCATCCTCTTATTTCTCCTTCAAAACTGTGTCCAAAACTGGATCCTTTACATGTTGTCGAATTTGTAGTCAACAAAAATACCTTTCTTTGCTTTTGCCCCCCTTAATATAGAAAAATGTACAACATCTAAATACCAGTTCATTTTGGTTCACAACTTTGACATTTTTCATTATTTGGGTCTACGAGACGCTCAGTAACGACATTTTCCCGCTAGAGATAAGATTTCTTGTAGGCCAGTCTGCTTGAATATGTGATTTCCAGTTTCTGTGGTGTCCTTCATACATTAAAAACGGCAGTATTTTATATACCCCAGTTTCCAGTGGAATAGAGTTGAGTTAACACATTGACAAATGTTGGCTTTCGCGGCCAGTAGGGTATTCTGGCGGCCCAGAACATGCAGCGTCTGTGGAATGGTTGTATTAGCCTCAGCCATGGTGCCATCTTGACAGCAATTCTTGACGTCTACTCAATAGAAAAAATTTAACTAAGTAACACCAGCCTGGACTCGGGGAGTTTTGAAGTTACCTTATTCAATTATTATCATTATTCTTAAGTGTTATAAATTAAATCAAAATTTGTAAGTTGTGCTAGTGTTGCAGTTCCTGAGGGGTCTCTTCATTTAAACACTCTGGTCAATTACGTTAGTGAATACACAGCGTTATTGTGGTAGTAGCTGATGGGCAGCATGGACCGAGTGGAGTATAGTGCTAACTTCTTATGGAGAACATACATTTTAAGTGGTTGCTCCTCACAGAATTTAGTACGATTGAATAAAAATGCAATTTAATGATGCAACCCATTTGCTTTCGGAACATTCTTGTCTAACAGAGGGGGGCTCGTTGCGTAATTCAATTAAATTGATACCTTATTTTATGTGGCGAGACTCAGGCCAAGAGGCCTGCTCTTCCGTCAACGCAAATTTTACCAACTGGCGGAGAAAGAAAGTATTCTGGGGCGACGAAACAGGCGATTTGAATTTAGCTCACAGGCTTCATTTAAGGTTGACGATCTTTTATTTGAAGAAAATCTACAACATGAAACAGCCGGCTTTTCTTCCCCTCCGATTTTTTCGCTCTAAAAATCCACGGCTTTGAATCCGAGAACTTGGGTACAACAGTCCGATACGCTTACCTTTACACCAGTGTTAACTCATACGCGTTTTACTACTGGGTCCCGGGTTCGGTTTGAGGGTTTTCTCCTTTCTACTACTTCTCATTTTATTGTCGCTACATCATAATTAACTTCATTATCGTCTTATCGACTGGCTGAAGTGACTCAAGTCATCAGCTGATGTCACTATAGTGCATCTGACATGGATGCTGCAGGGTTTGAGTCCCGACGATGGAAGGATTATCTACACTAGCTACGAGGGTAGGTCGAATTCAGATGCTGTCTGGAGGAGAATTATAGTAGTCGGCTGCTCTGATCGGCAGTTTTCCTTGGTTTCTCGAATGAACACCAGTCGAATGCCGGAGCTATGCCCTAACAAACGGGTCACAGCCCGCAAGCAATATTTCCTTCTTCTTTGACCTCTCCCCACCCCTTACATGAAGATGCACTCACATCCACTACACTACCACACTTCGGAAGCTTGGAGCTTGGCGCGCCTGGTGCTGTGCCTCGCTGGTGGGAGATACCTGGATATAGAAACACGCGCAAGCCGATGTCGCCACCGTATATCACCAACCGGCGGGAACAACATCATTTCATTCCGTGAAAAAGACACGAACTACACTTCCGGACTAACCATCATAGCAGTTGACAGTCCGATAACACGAAATAATCAATCATATAGTTCAATCAATCATATAGTTCAATCAATCAATCAATCAGTCATTTTGCCAGTGTATAAAATCTTGCCACTGCCGTGACTCCCTGTCAGCGGTCTCTTTTGATGCCCTGAGCCACCTCAGCCGGTATTTATTTATTTATTTATCTTATGGCAAGGGCACAGGAACCATAATACAGCAAATGCAGTCTAGTATATCACAATGTGACACCACAACAGTAAAACAGTCTTCAGAAGGGTACAAAAAATAGTTAGTGCCTAGAGGAGGACGTTCGTATAAATAAATAAAATAAATTAATTAAATAAGGTACAATACGATAACCGTGATTAATGCGTATTTTCAGGATGGAAAGCAACCACAGCAAGAGTCCTCGGCAGCTAACGCTTTGAACTCGACGCTCGAGGTTCTCTGCAGGGATTTGGATTCGCATCTAAGGGTGAGTTGGTGAACTATTTCAACCTTCTATTACGATTAACAAAAACTGCAAGGTAACTACGGTTCGGTCGTATTTCTTAAGCTGTTCGCGCTTACGAATCGACTTCTGAAGCCTCAAGATTGGAGAACGAACCGTAAAAGAGAGACGGAAACTTGCAGGAAATAATTTTAAAACGGTATGCTTCAATGTAACTTCCTCAATATAATGTTCAATAAAGGAGAAAAAAAGATGTGTTGGAATTACTGAGTGGGCATTTCAGAGGAGATTCCATCTTTTGTAGTTGGAAAAGGTTCTTCGATAACAAGCAGTATTTGTAATTAAAAAAAGGTAATTTATTTTTTACATTTATACATTCGAAGACAGTCATGTACAGCCATTTACGTGCGTAATGGAAATTACATATTTACACATTCTTCAATAGCCATTTTTACTTTATTTACACATTTGCATTCGATTATAGTGCTGCATGTCATAGATAATGTTGATGAAGTACCAAGATATGTTTGGTTAATTGGATTTTCCTGATTCGACAAAACACCGATGGTAATGACAGAAATAAGTTAACTTTTGCGAGTTGGAAACACATATTTCACAGCTTTTCCTTTGGAAGAGTTGGCCATCAAAACTGCTTGAGAACAACTTCAATATTCAATAATTTCTTTCTTTTCTCATGTCAACACAATAGCTATCAATATTCATCAGTAGTTAATTGGGAATATTTATCCATGAGTTTAAAAGAAACAGTCAATACTATTATAAGCAACAGAGGAGAATATCTGGTTTGTTTAACACGTTTGTAAGATTTTTATCAATCCATCTCTATCTAGCAACAATTTTTTGTTAAGTTGAGACTTAAATGTAATTGGATTTATTTTCATCGTAAAAATAGTGAATATCGTATGCGAGTTCATTAAAAACCAATTTGTTTAGTCAGTGCCAAATATGAAGTGCGTCAAAGCGCGTCTTAAATGAAAGAAAGCTAAAGCTTAAAAGAAAGCTTAAAAAAGAGCTTCAGTAGATGTGTAACATACTTGGCCTTATATATTTTTTTATACCTCGTGAGGTCACTATATCGCTATGAATAAAGCTGTTCAGTGAAAATAATAAACTAAAAGTTTATCTATAGTACGCAGCGAATAACACCTACATCGAGGATAGGCCAATACGTATGAAATGAAGCTAGGAGAAAATGGCGGCAAAATGCGAATAATATGTATCCTGTGTAACCGTAGCGACATTATATTAATGTCCATTTGTACCCCAGTACGTGGATTTGTGCGGAAACATGGAATTTACTCGACTGGCACATACGCAAATATGTCAGAAGCTTAGTACAGCTTAAAAGAGCATATGCACTAAAGAAATAATGTTAAACGTATCGTGACTTTACGATACATAACTTCACACCTCTATATGTACGGTGCATTACGCGTGCATTAATGCAGAAAAAAAGCTCCCGCTATAGAGGAGACTTAGCAATTACTAGACTTAATACCAAAAGCAACTTTCGTGTCAGATAGCATTGGTTTACTCGAATTTACGGAATCAAGATCGTTAAGTGGAAATGTAGTGGATGCTGTGATGTGTTGTTTGCGTGCAGTGTATGACTGATAACGATGAAAGGTAACACAGTTGAATTCGGTGCAAAGCGGATATGCCTCATACACGATAACTTCTGCATTGAGTGTAACGTGTCGCAGCACAACAAGCAACATTGCACTCACTGACAACTGTGAAGATAGAAAAAGATTTCGTGTACAAAACGAACTGCATTATTGAATAAGAGATTTTTAAAATCTGAAAATATTAATTTTTAAACTTTGTAATAGATTATATCCTAAATTTAGTTAGATACAAATTACATATTATAGTGTGTTCACATTTGCCTTTAAACCCCATTCTTTTCTCTGACAATACTCGGGTTAATAAATCCCGTTTACTGGCTAAAAACGTAACTCCAAATTCACGATGGAAATATTAGCCATATTTTCTTTTCATTTAATCTCCATGTGACTCTTTTGTTTGTGCTAAAAATTTAGTACACGCGGAAGTTGAGTTTATTTTTTTCTCATCATTCGATGTAAAATACTACCAGTGGATATAAACTTTGTTATGATGTTATGAACTTTTATAATAATGGATAAAGTAGAGGAAACAACTATTAACCAATGAAATAACAGAGTGGCTACTGACGATACGTTTAACCATACAGTCAATTGCGGTTTGTCCCGATTTTAATGACTAGTTATTCCGTTTATGAAAGCAATGCTTCTCAGAGAAGAAAAGGCTTAGAAAATAAATTGCCAATGGTGCATATTATTTTACAATATGTACCAAATCAGTTTTGAACCTGTTGAAATGAATGAACGATTAGAATTGAGGTTTTAACTATATCCCGTGAAATTTGTCATTTTCGTCGTCACGTTTGTAAGTCCCTTCCGTAAGAACATGGTCGTATGAAATGTCGTCCGAGTATAGACTAATAATACATACGATTTCAGGGCATCCATTACATAAATCATTTCCGCCAAATAAGTTAAAACGTAGAGCGTCGATTTCTTTGGAGACCCTGATTAGGCCTATCTCAAATTTTCTATGTCCGCTTAGAATTCCGAAATTCGAATCTCGTTAAGTCATTTCTGTTAACTCAATTTTTTTCATCTAAAGAAATCGTATATCCTTACAAATCATAAAAACTAGAAAATAAATCCTCAGGTTTTGAAAAAATGAAGACCGTGTTATGTATCCTCGGCGTTGCCCATAAGGAAGTGTGTCCTCCAGCAATTGATGACCTTGTCAGCGGATGAACTGATTACCAGTAATGGTAAGGAGACAGCACCTTGGAGTAGGCGTAGCTGGGATAGGCACTGTAAGCCAACTTGCTGTAACCGAGCGGGTAGCCGGCGTACGCCAACTTGTTGTATCCCACGTACGGGTACGCCGAATACGAGTAAGCCGGATATGCCACCTGTAACAGGAAGTTGAGGATTCGGTTATAACCGAGGCACGTAGATCAGGGTATGAATTGCTATGGCATTAAGGTGCCTTGCCTACACCTGAATGTTATGAACATTACTAATCTAATATTTAGCTAATACGTTATTGCTTTTCATACGGAGCTTCATGTACTCTGTACAACTTACCTTGGTCGAGAGGATCGTGGTTGGAAGTATGAAATCAGTTCAATGTTGCTACATATTCTATTATATAGAGGGAATTATGAAAATAAATTATGGAAGGGAAATATGAGAAGACAGAGTCAAGTTAACATCGAGTTACTTGAATCTGACTCATTAAAATTAGTGAAAAACAATAAAATCTTGTATGTACCACTGGTTCTAATTATCTCTAACGAGAAAATACGTAGATAAATATATAGACAGAATGGAAGAAGACAGACTGGTGAAAGTGACTAGAGATAGAAGACCGGAAGGAAGGACGTCCAAGAACTAGATGGAAAGACGTTTTGTGAAACAAGTCGGCATGAATATAGTGTCAATTTATAAATATGACTACATAAATGTAATGTATCAGGTTTTTTTAAAATTCTAATTAAGTATCCTTTGTAAAGAAACGGGCTCTAGCCTAAAATAAAAGAGTAAAGAAGAAGAAGACAAAATACTTTCGGGCCTACGGCCCTCGGGTATTTTGTCGCCACTGAATTACTAGAACTCTTTATAACTCCCACAACATTTTTCCTTCTGAAACATTTTTTACGCTAATTACATAAATATAAGTTTTATAATTTTCTTTTAGCTCCTTTCTCCCTAAAAGGCACCGTCTCATTTTTTTCAGCAGTGATCTATTATCCAAAACAACTATCCAAATACCGTAATCTCCCGTTGTTGAGGGATCGTAGACGATTCTTCTGTTCATCACGATCTCTCGCTATTAAAATACGTCTATCATATCGAGTGCGTATACTTTCTAACATTCCTGCATGCGTGCCTGTGTACGGAATGTCGCTCGTTTGGTCCTTGAGGAAAGCGCGTTGCCCAAACACGACTGGATCGACTTTCGACCTCGCGCCAATCGATTCGATTAGTCGACGGATCCTTCTTCGCGACGCATGCAGTGCATGTTGGTGTCTGTACTTTCGCCTGCGCCCAATGAAAGCGCGTTCAATTGTTTGGTGAAGACCTTTTTTCCCCTTCCTGTTCAAATCATACATGCATTTTTTTAAGCTGTTGAACAACTTTTAACGTACAGTATTATTGAGGTAAGTTGCCGACAGTTTACTGGAATTAACTCTCATGCCTTGATTTAAGTTATACAAACATAGTTTACGTAACTATTAAATTTTTAATTAATTATTTTATAAGAATGATAATTTTAAAGATAAATTAATTTTTGAGATGGGTGAAAATATCCTTGGGAAAGCGAGAACGGATTTGATTATTTACATTATAATTGAATTGAATTTTTAATGAGTTGCAATGGGCAATTTAATAAAGGAATTTTAAAATGATTTTGTGATCGGCTTTCGAAAAAAAATTTCTTTGATTCTTCCGAGCGGAAAAATATTTTTATGGTGAAATGTATCAAAATAAGTGGGAGTAAAACTACTGTGTAACGAGATATGCAATGAAAAACGTCATAATATTAATTAATTTTATACAATGAAAAAATATTCAGGTTATCCTGTATTACTACCTTTTCTCTTTCAGTATTCATCATGTACGTCAATCCAGTCGTTTCTAAACCTTCTCTCTTTGTGTTCATTTTGACATCCATTCACTTCTTTCGCCCACCCTAATTTTGTGTTGTTTTTCTATGTTCGTAACTCAGCATTGCTTTAAATACATCGTCTTTTATAAAACCATCCCTATCCTACGAGGGTATTAGCATAGTTGGAATGAACATGTTTTTGTGAAAAAGGAAAATATTAAATTGAATTGGTTCTTGACTAAGTTAATAATATGCAGTTATGTAAATAACGTTCACTTTGCAACAACTGAAAGCTTATTTAACTAACTACAAGAAGGCAGCGCACAGAAATC